AGATCTGTGCATGCAAAGAGAACATAAAAGCTGTCTGTAAATACAGAACACACCTCGTGGGGAGAAAACCCAACTATGTGGGGTCAGTTAATCTCTTCTGAGCTTAAATTGCTGGATAATTTTGATAGATGGCTGAAAATGTCATGCTGAGAGTTACTGAATATTTGTTTGTTTTTATTTTCATCTTAAGATGATTCACGTCAAGCTATTTAAATGCTTAGGGACCTTGTTTATCTTTCCAATGTTTATTTGCTGTTGTCTCTATTCACTACAGAGGCATACAAGAATTCCCTGCTGATTTAGTTGAACTTATCTACTTCTTTTCTCCATCAGTGAAGCCGAGTTGTGTATACATGCACCTTCATTTCATACTATTGGATGCCTTAGAAAAATAAATGCATTGTCGTTTTGGAGAATGACTATGTGAAGTCCAAATAACTAAAGGAAATTTATCAGTAGCAAAAACTTACCAGTACCAAAAGGAAAAGTTTCTAGAGATTTAGTGAAGCATCTCCTGGAGATGACTCATTCTTGGAGAAGATGAGCATATTTCTGCTGGCTCAGCTATTTAGTTATGTAGAAAAGTTTTTTCTCTTTTCTTGAAAACCAGATAATTGTTTATGTATGATGCTTTATCTCCACAGATGTTCTAATGCCACATTTGCATTTTTGGTCCTTCAGGCAGTTCTGCTAGTTTTCATCTTTCCCTCATCTTAGTTTCAGCAGCTGGTATTATGATATTCAGATATAACTGCTGATCTCAGCTCTACCAGAAAATTCATGCTGAAGCTTCTTGCTAAGTTTTTGCTTGGATGAAGCTGTTTGTTATTTTTCTGAAGCCTAACCGATTCAAGTGGTTATTGAAGTTCTATTAGAAAAAAAAAAAAAAAACAACTGAGGAAAATAGCTCATTCTAAAAGTTTACTAGCTCATTTTGGGGTGCCCATGATTTATGAAGTTTCGTAAGTAATAGATGACTTAACATCTGACTCCATGTCTACATTAAGAGTCTTTGGATACACACGTACCCTATGTGCTATGACACAATCAAAACTCTGTCAGCTAAGAATGTGATTGCACGATCAGCTTTAGTTTTTACTTCTGCTATGTTCTGCCTTCTGCCCTCAGGCATGAGTCCCTGCCCACTTTCCTGAGTCAACACCACAGCTTGAAAAGATGTGTCAGTAGAAGATAATTTATTTTGTTTTGACAGAAATAGCTCTCACCTGGACCAGCTCTCAGAGCAGCTCACTATTGTTGAATCTAAATTACAAGCCAGATTTAGAGTATAAGATTCTAAACACGGGCATTAAAGGTACATCTCTCTGCCCTGATAATACATACACATATAGCATTACAGGCTACCAGCCATCAGTTCTACATACTACCTCTGAAGTTGTATCAACCAAGCAATCAGTGGTTTTCATTGCAGCTTAAATACATAGTCTGAATACTCCTGTGCCCAAGTTCCTTCCTGGGGCAGCTTGCATGGGTTGCTTCCACACTGATATCACCTCCCAGCCATTTCTTTTTATGGCCTCGAGGCCTCGGATACCTTCCCATGGCCATAAATGCAAGGACGCTGATGTCAGCTGGTGGCTGTGCTGGGGAGGCCCCACCTGTAGCTGGGATCATCCTTCATCTCGGAAAGGGGCGTGTGTGGAGAGGGCTCTTGTGCAGCTGCTGGCTGTGCACTCAGCAGGGCTGCAGGCTGTGACCAGCACGGCTCTGCTCACCAGCTCAGGCACAACTTCAGGCTTTCAGCTCAAGCAAATCCTCAAGCCATGTTTAGAGGTTCAGCGTAACAAAACAGGACTGCTGAAGAATGGTAGGTTATTTTTGTGAATACTTGTGGCAGAAATGAAAAATAATTTTTAGTAACATTTTCCTGTTAAGTTTTCAAACTGGGTAAGGTTTATGATATGTTATCTCAAAGGACAGAAAATATGAGAAAATATACTGTTTAGAAGAAAGGCAATCTTTCATTGTAAGAAATGCCAGTTTTTGGTGAGCGTAAATGAAGACTATGCTCTGTTGTTTTGTAGTTGTATCAGACCTCTGTGATTGAAATGCTGAAAATCACTGAAATTGGAAAGGGCCAGACTTGCAAAGTAGGACTTGTCAGATCCTATGTGTTTATGATACCACTTTTTTCTGAAGGGTTTGTAAGTTAATTAATATTAAATTTGAATTAATTATTTATTTAATAGGACTTCTTCTTGGCTGTGTTACTGTGTTGTAACTTCTGTGTGCCTGCACCCTAGAACTCTTAATTATATTGATATATGCATTGTTGCTTTTGCGGTCTTTATATGGCTATTAGTTTATATACTGCACCAATACTTTCTACTGAGTCCTGATTTACAAATGTTCCAAAACTTACATGAAATAATCTGTATTAGTGGAATGAACAAACTGGAACATTAAATTTTTCCCCTTAAAATACTTAAAGTTATTGATAAGGCTGTGTATATGTGTGAGATATACACACACAAACACAAATAAATTTAAGGGAACTTTGTAAAAGAACACTGGTAGGCCTGTAACAGTTTTTTCTTCTCTTTTGATATCCAAGTGTCTCTGAGATTCTTGTTAATAACATCGTGCCTTTATTCTGTCTGGGCTTGAAAATTCTGATATCTGTAAAATTGTTATCCTGAGGTGGTTACAAAACAGAAGTGGGGACCTATTCGTAGCTCAAGCAGGGGCAACTACTTTGCAACCCTCCATATCAGACCACCCCAAACCCTGCTGCAAAAACTAGTTTTGGATTTTTTTTGTTTGTTTGTTTTTTGGGGTTTTTTTTGAGCCAAGAAGAGGGGCAGCTTCATTTTTCAGTGATACTTGAGGCCAGCTGGTGATGAGTACATTGGTGGGCATTGAAAGGGAAGAGGGCTTCAGTTTATTCCAGTCCCAGAGCAGCCTATCTGCTGCAGGGTGTCTTCTCCTGTCCTGTCAGGTCTGTGGACAATGAGGTTCTCTTTGCTTTTGTTGCCTTAGGATTGCTTTATGTATAAATGCTTCATTGACATAGCTGTATTGGTAAGGAAAAAGAAATCCTGCCCTTCATGCATATAATTCTAGTAAGAAAAGATTGGTTACAGTTATGCTGGGGAAAAAGGCATTAATTTTGTTCCAGAAAATGGCATTGCTTTATAGCAGAATAGGAATTTTTATTGGGAAATGTGTGTCTTCACTGTTCTGTTTTCTACTGATCTCATGCCATAACATCTTCCAGTAATGGAAATTCAGGAGAAACTTCCTCTAAAATACTAGGCTCTACTGTGTTGATATGGCTTCCAAAAATATTGCAGAATAAGCTGCTTCTTATATATCTCTGCTAAACTCATGTCTCAAGGATAAGAAAACGGTATTATGTGATATCTCATATAATTAATTGGTTGTAAAAGAATGAAGCAGAAGACTTCAGTCTGTCAAAAATTGTCCCCCAAATTTTTTAATGAATAATACCTTACTAAATCATGATTTTAAAAGTCCCAAAGAATCATTATGAACATTGTTTAAAAAACTTTTTTTTTTCCCGCTTAACTCTCTTATGGACTATTCTGAAGCATCTAATAGCACCCAGATAGTTAAAAATAACAATCGTGTTATATCTTACGGTTTGCCTCCACAGTCAAATAGTTTCATATCAAAATTCATCTAAATCTAAATTCCAATCTGAAACATTATTTCAGTACTCAAAATTGTATAGTCAGGTGCAGGAACATATGCATATAGATGTTTCAGTTCTAACAACATGCAGGAAGTTATGAAGCTCTCCTCTTGTCTTGGAACAGTAGTAGTGAGTGGATCTGCTGTGGAATGTGCAGAAACATGTTATAAAGGCCTTGCATATTGGAACCATTGGCAAGACTTTGATCAATGGACCTGTATTTTTGCCATTAAAAAAATTATAATATGAAAGTAAAATGTAGTATCTATTAGGAAAAAAAAGGGAAACAAATACTTTATTCATTGAAAACTGTCCTGTAAAATTATATAGTAATAACCCAGAAGTGGCTTCTTGACATGTTACTATATTTAGATGCGTAAAGAGAGTGTGTTGCTGGATACTTATAAAAAAATACTTGATACCAGTGTACTTGGCATAATAAAGTACCCACGTACTAATAGTGATAATAAAATAGTACTATGTACTTAGCATAAGATCTATGCTATGCTCTGGGGTTTTTTTGTTTGCAATTTGTTGTTAAAAATCAGGCACTTGGAAAATTTCCACAGTTAGATGAGGTGTAGGTGATCACCTTTTACGTTAGTGAGGGAATTTGAGCTTCAGGTCTCTGTAACTTGCATCTCTGTAGATAGAGAGTCACTGTAATAAAACTCAGAGGGCTATGTTGCAACAATTCTCACCAGGAGAAGGTGTAGGATTACTTGTATAATCATTAATTTTTCTGTCCTCTCATAACCCATCTGTGTTTTCTGGTTGACTGGCAAGCGAGTCCTAATTCTGCATTTGACATTGTCAGTTCATATGGAAATAATTGATGTCACACATTCAGCATGACATAACTTATGCAGAGCCACCACCATGTACTTCATAGACAAAAATTGACAGGTTCCTATCCAGCACACAGAGTCTGCTATCTCTATGTGCAGCCCTCAGTCACAAACTGAGCTGGGATTCTGTGCAGCTATGGCCATTGAGCAGTGGGATGAAAGCTGTCGTGTATTAACTTACAGAGCCTTTAGGAGCTCAGATGTCAGCTACCCAGCTACAGGCCACCTCAGGGGGACTGCAGGTGCTGCTGCTCACAGACTGGGCTCGGGTGGTACATTCCAAGAGCAATGCTTCTACTCATGGGCTACGTCTAGTGTGCTTGTTTTAATTTGAGATAAAATGTTGCCCTGATATAACCACGAGAATATGAAGTAATAGGAGATTCAGGCTGGTAGTCTTCTGGCAACAGCCTGAATGGTTTGGATGCAAGTTCGTATTTGTTTTGGAAGGGGGTACACCTTTATGTGCCAGCAGGCTGCAGCTGTTGGTCCTGCATGCCCTGTGACAGTGTCAAAGTAGCTGATTTGGGACAAAGAGGCTGCATACATTCATTCTCAGGCAGCCACAAATCACATACTGTGAGGCAGAAGAAAATTTGTAAGCTGACGAGCAGCAACCATTCACGTTGCTAGAGGGAGAATTCTGTACTTGCCTCTGCAATGTGGGCTATCTTTAATGTAAATAGCTGGGCTCCAGGCGACTTCTTGGGTATACAGAACAGTTGGCATTCCAGTCTGCTACAAAGGTGGCTCTTATCCATAGCATCTGAAATGCAAAACACTGCCACCATCCTGTAGGTACTGTTTGCACTATCACTGTCACTCAGTAGCAGCAGTGAGGACTTATTTTCCTAGGTTGTATGAGAACGAGGAAAGGCCTTGAAATTGGCTCTCATCACACAGTAAGGGGCACACAATAGTACACAGGGGAAAGGAAAAAGGAGAACTGCTGTTACCCTGAACTGGAATTTTTCACTTGCTTCTCTTTACTTCACTCCCTATAAATGCATTTCCCTAATACATGAAAGTTTTGTTTTGCAGTTTTTTACTGTATAGAAAATGCATACTCACAGAGTGTCCAGAGCTGTTCTATTGTGAAAGCACATAAAACATTTCTTAATTAGGAGAGGACAGGAGGAGGGGGGTTGATTTAAAATTTTTGTTTGATATCTGAATGTTTATTAACATCTTCTGAATGCTTGTCACAGCTTAGCAATACAATCTTCAGGTCTTAGTGTGATCCCATGGCAGTTTGTGCTGGCTACAAACAAGCAGAATATCTCCTTTGCTGTGCGTGTGGTGTGAAAGGCTCATGCTTTGGGAGAGGAACTGAGAACCATGACAGTGCACTCAGGGTTAACTGCAAGACCAATGCCACTCACCACTACCCCACTTGCTCTCACACTTGGAAATGACTAACAGTCTCTTTTCACGTAGACCCTTTCCCTGGAGGCTGGTTGATGAAACCTTCTGGAAGATTTGGAGGACAAGTTAAAAAATCTCTCAAAAGAAGCCCCAGTATCCTGTTTAGAGTACAGATGTTACCATTGTGGGTAAAGGGACCTTCGTCTTCTTCCTGATTGTACCTTTGCCAACATACCTTTGACATCAGATATTTAATTTCTCCCCATGAACATTTAATAATAGCACTTTTAATTCTGGAGGAGTTCAAGGTTCTCCACATGAGAAAGATTTGCTGTCCTTCTCCTTTTACAGATAGGGTAGTAGAAGTCCAAAGAAGTAAAGTAAATTGCCAAGATTCAGATTCATGATAAAACTGGAAAGAGAATGGGGCCAAACCTTGAGCCAGCCTCCAAATGGAAGAGTTTCCATGTTTTCCACCTCTATAAAGGTTTGTTTGGGGTTTTTTTGTTACTTCCCAGTGTGTGTGCGTGACACCATCTAGGGGATTGCATTGTGTGGGAGTTGGGTTTTGTTAGGCAATCCCACAAGTGCACTGGCACTTTTGCTCCCTCTATGGCCTATGCCTAAGTCCGTATAGGTAATTTATGGCTTGCAGGTAGGAGTGTCACAGCATGTGTCTTCTGTGCACGTGGTCATGGGGCAAAAAATGGATGGCAAAGATGCAGTTCCTGAACGGAAGAGTGAGACAAGAATCATCTCTAGAAAGCTCAGGCTCCAGCTGACAGCCCTCCCTTGGACAGCGCCTCTGCTGTACCTCCAGAGGTTTTCCTAAAACATGGCAATACAGGCAAATGCAATATTGATGTCTGTCCCTCTGAAAACCAAATACAATGGTGAATACTCTTGTACAGTGATCGTAAGTCTTAACTAGACCTTCTGTTTCTAATAAGCAGCACTCTTTAAAAGGGCACATTAAAAGGGTAGGCAAAACAATGTAAATACCAAGAGTTAAACGTTGTGGATCATGCCAGCATGCTGAAGTGAGGGAAAGGACTGGAAAAGAAGGGGCACTGACAACTGGCCACTCAGTGAGGGATTTTGAGGTATTTAGACTTTAAAATTGGCAGAATTGATGGGCAGAATGATTTAGTATTTTACAATTAATTTAAGTCATAGAAATGATTTTTTAAAATACTTTCTGAGAAGAACAAAGGATGAGAGAATGACTATATGGATTACCATTTCTATCTATGTTACTGTGAGTCCAGCCTCATGCTCCTGCCACTATCTGGAAGAATTTGCATTAGTGGAGTTAAGGTTCAGTAGAAAGCAGGTGCAGTGTGTGGGAAGAACATTTATTTAAACTCTGTGGGCTTTTGAAAATAACAGTGAGAGAAGTACCCAGTGAGGCTCTCAGTAGTACTGTGCTGTGCAGTATTCTGCCACATTCAGGGCATCACGTCTGTTTTGGAGTGGGGAAGGAGAGCTGTACAAACCAGCTGTGTGTGCAAGAGGAGGGCAGGTGGTCTTTGTTCAGCCAAGCCAAATGAAATGCATTCTGCAAATGTGCTGTAGGATAAGAACATGCTCCTGCTGCAGCTCAGGAAGGACCAATTGGCCCATGTGTGAGAAGGAAGATAAAAGGGGAAAAGAGCAGCCTTTGGTCAGAGAATTGCATTTCACCACAATTTGACATAAATTCTGAAGGTGCAGATGATTTAAGTCCAACATATGAAAACAACCATTTATTGAGATGTGGCACTTGCAGATAATGTCAAAATGATTCCTAAATCAGCTTGTGTGGAAGGACTCTCCTGACCTGTGGGACAGGCACCTCCACCCAAGCAGCTATTTATCCTCCACTATGACTTGCTGCTGTGTGCAGCAGTTGTTCCTAATTGACTGGCCTGCTGTCCTGTGGTCACAGCTCCTCCAGGAACTGCCCAGTGCTGGTGACAGCCAGGGAGCTGTTGTTTCTGGTATGCACCACTGAGAGCAGTGCCCAAGCAACAGATCCAACAGCTTGGTTGGAAGGTGTGACTAATGCAGCACTGGGGTCTTATGAGACCAGCTGGATTATGTTCTCTTCTTAGAGGCTACATTAGGACAGAGCTTTCTTTGTAAATTTAGTAGTATGTATGTTGATACTACCTCTAAATATGTATTGCATATTCCTGCCTCTTTTTATCTTGAAGAGAAGGTTCACCATTTTGTGGCTAGTCTGCTGGTACTATTTAAATAAGGCTGATATGTAAATAAAACTTTTAAACTTTTGAATAAAGTATGACTTATAATAAGCCTTCTATTACTAAAACATCAAGCAGTCGCAGTGTTTTATGTATCCCTATTCCAACTGCTTACCTCTTCTATGCTTTGATCAACTACATCTGGCAAGTCTTTAAAAAAATCCCTGAAAGTTTCTGAGGAAATAAGGGTGTTTCATCCTAGGTGCTGAAAACCACACATTCCTGTTTGGAAATGTGCAATTATTACTTCAGTGAAAACTCCAAGCCTCACAACATTTGCCTATTTAATTTTTACTCACCTTTACCTCCAGAGTTCCTCACCCTCTGGCACATGAATTAATGTTCATGTCTGAGCTGAAGGATTGAAAAAACAATTTCTATTTATGTTTTTTCCCAGCAACCTTTTAACTTCAGACAACTCATTCAGTGTCATAAGAAGTATAAGAAGGGTGGCAAGTCACCATCCATGTGCAGTATCTAGTGTTAGTTTGATACTTTGAATACTGCATTAGGAAAATAGTGCTTCCTTTAGTAAACCCACTCATTGTTTACTTTGGGATAACTTTGTTAAAACTGGTGTTAAAGTTGAAGAAGCAAGAAGGTGAGGCCTGATATTTCTTTTTATTTTAGAATTCCGGGTCTTTCATTTATGAAGACCTCATTATTTGAAAACGCTATCAAGGTCCTCGTGTCAGATAATTAACCTTTGTACTAAGTACTAACAGTACTAAGTACTGTTATGTTGGAACATATGATTCCAATAAAGAAAACAAACGGTGACAGGGAAATATTTTTTTAAAGCTGCAAGGTCCTCCTAGGATAGTTAACTATGTTGATATTTAAGTATGTTTATATACCCACATGCCTTGGGACTGTTGCTGTCTCTAACTAGAGAAAAAAAGCAATGTGACTCATGCACGAGCATGAAAAAACTCTACCTAAAAAGTGAAGATTCCTGCAAGGGAGTTGGCCTGAAGGAAGTCCAGATTTACGTGCGTCTTAATTAGAGGTGGTAACTCAACAAGTCTGTTTATTTCAGAAAGGAAAAGAAATACGTTTCCCCTGCGACTTACTGATTATAAAACAGTATTTTACTTGCACTTTTCAGTGGGTTAAAATGTGTTAAGTGTCACTTAAATGCACTCCTCAGCACAGAAAGTCTGAAGATAAATATGAAGATCAGTCAGAAACTCCACTCAACTCTTAGGAATTTAAGTGCATTGGCATGCACATGCCCTGAAAACAAGTTTTCCCTGAGCATTCAGAAGTGTCCTTTGAAGATCCCCTGTGCCAGGATATTGAAGGATTTATCTCACACATGGAATGTGCAGAAAACAGGGCTGAATTGGTTGCAGTGCTCCACTGACCACTTTGGAAAATGCAAGCTCTGATTATTTAGTTGGTTTGACAGAATGTTTACACCATTATATTGTGAAAACTTCTAGGTATCAAAGGGCTTTTGAGCAGCAGTGCTCAGTTGTGTCCGGGTACCTTAGGCTGCCGAAGTCAAAACCTTACAAGTGTCTGCCCAAAACTGACAACACAATACTTCAGGTTTCTTCCTTTCTTTCCCCTTTGGACTTTTGAACCTTTAGGACATTCTGTGCTTTCTGAGGTTTCACTGTAGACATAGGGTTTAGGTTTTTTTTAAGGGAAGTAGAGATAGCTTATGGTAACTCCCTGCAAGACCTGGATCGGACCCACACGAGCGGCGGTCAGCAGGAGTTACTGTCATCCCTCTGTTCAGCCATTCCTCTGCGGGATCACCGTGTCCCAGCTCCTGCTCAGACACGACGGCCTTGACAATTAAACAAACGAAGGGACTTCTGGCGCAGCCCCTCTGGCTAAGCTCCCTCTCACCTTCATCCCCTCTCGGGCGGGTGGAAGGAGGGGTCAGCCGGTCCGCGGCCCCTCAGGCCCCGTGCGGCGGGGCCGACCCGGTGCGTGCGGGCCGGGGAGCAGCGGAGCGGCCGCGGCGCGGGCGGGGCCGTGCGGGCGGGGCGTGCCCGGCGCTCCCTCGCGGCGGCCGCGATCCCGATCCCGATCCCGATCCCGCTCAGTCCCGCGGCCGCGGGGCTGGTGCATGGGCGGCCCTGGGCGGCACGGCGCGGGGCAGCGGGCAGGAGCAGCAGCAATAACAGCGCAAGCATGCCGGGCAGCGACACGGCGCTCGCCGTGGACAGGACCTACTCGGACCCCGAGCGGCACCGGCGCCGCAAGACGAGGGTAAGGCGTGCGGGAGAGAGCAGGCGGGCTGGGGATGCCCGGGGCATTTGGGTGCCGGGCTCTGACAGGCAGCCGCCAACCTGCGGCACGTTCCCCCTGAGGTCTCCACGTTTGCTAGGCTGACGATCTAAAGGGAAGGTTTCTTCCTGCGTGATTCGCTCATACTCTGAACGCTTTTTGGTATAGGAAAATGAAATGAAACTGGATGTTGACTTCATAGAAACCAACGCTCGAGATATTCCCTCAATCGAAACTACAGGGATACAAGTTTGTAATAGAGAACTTACTCACCAGAGTCAATATTGCCGGTGATTTAATGCCATGACTGTCTCGATCACAGTGGTGAAAACAAGGGTTTGTTTAATAAACTCTAGAGCAGGTGATTGTATCTGGCAGCAGAGAACTATTATGGTTCCTTTTATGAAGTTAAAAGAGGGCTGTGGCAGGAATGGAACTTGACAGAAAAAGTGCACCTGTGTGTTCTAGGGATAAAGTAAGAATATACCATATATCCATGATGAATGGCTTTATGGAATAGTTTTTCTTATAGTCTCCTGGCAAGTTCATCGTTCTTTATTTCTGTTTTGTTCATATGATATTTATAAACATAAACATGTATGGGCAATGCTTGTGATCCTTTCATGTATTTAATGGCTTTAATGGTAAGCGTTCTGTTGATGAAGGCACTTGGCTTTTTAGTTTAAAATTCTTACCGAAATGCTCAGCTCAAAGTGTAAAAAAGTGGCCCTATCTTCCCATGCACTGCAGGAAAGGAAAAACAAGGTTGCTCTAGCTGACTTGGGATATTGGCAGAAATTGTTTTCTGTGCTGAGATCTTGGGTCTGACAACAAATGAACTTTATGGTTTGAAGTGCAAGGATCAACTGTTTGTGAGGGAAGATCTTTCTTAAGTTGTGACTGGGGTAAAGGTTTTGGGGTTGGGGGGTTGTATTTTCCTGTACTGTGCATTAGCAGTATTCTCCATCCCTCCAGCCCGTTAATTGACAGTGATGAA